AATAGATTTATATTATATTCCCATTATTTACATAATAAATATTTGTTTTCCCAATTAATAAACTATTCTATGTACTTTTAAATGTTGTATTCTTTTTGTTTTTATCCCCAAATAATACATTGTCAGACCAATTTATTCATCATTTTAAAGCAATTTGTCCCTTTAATAAATTTCATTAATGTAATAAGAAGATGAAGATGATCAGAACTATCAAAATTATCAGTGTCGAGTCACCTAGACTGGTGGCCACATTGCAACATGATCGATAGCATTCGATCTGCACTAATAAGGACTAGACAAGCATGACATTGATCACCATCTAGTGATCAATCAATTGTGAACCTTAAACCTACCTTGGTAATATTGACTTATTAACCAGAGTGATTAGGTCTTCTCTTACCCTTTTTCCAGTCTAGTTAACCTTTTAATTATATATATATATATGAATGTTCTTAACAACTATATTATGTGGTCAGATTGTTCGTAATGTATAGAGTTGATATATCACGTAGTTCTGATAATCTTCGTCTTCTTATTACATTATCAAAATTTATCAAAGGGATTAATTGGTTTACCCTTATTTTTCTTTTTTTTTTCAAGTTAAGAAATCATGTACATTATTTGCAAACCTACGAATATATATAAGATCAAATATACATCAGAGAATCTTCAACCTCACAGTTATATTGTAGTTGATTATCTTCCAGACAATTCTTAAGGTTTCATTTATCAGTCGTCCTGATAACCGTTATATAATAAATTTCTATTCGGTGTATAAATTTCTGAAAGCAATGCAACACGTCGATTGCAGTTTATTATTGAACAGCGCAAGTCATTGAGCCACAAGAACACAAAGCGAATTCGAGCAGAAATGCTAATATGAAAAAGTGAACAAACAAATACAGGCGAATTAAGGGGCGTTTTGAGCAACTGTTATTTAAGCTAGTAAGAGGAATTGTATGTAGGCTCTAACACGCGATCAAGCAAACAGATATGAAAACAATAATACAAAGGTATACAAATTGTTACTGTTCGAATGATACTATCTGTCAATAAGTTAATTGAAGGGCTTGACAAAATTAAATGTAAACAGACATAAGTGTTGATATGGTACTATAATGTAATAAACATACAAATGAAACATTTCTAATTGCTTAATGGAAAGTAATGATAGAGGTAGTCTTGACGACTAAAGATACAAAAATGTATTTTGTAAATACGTCCAATGTTGCCCATTGATTATCTTAGTAGGTTCACTAACATCGACACCACTAGGTGATGGCTCACTGGTCTACATCCTAAGCTCTTGCCACGAAACCTGAAGGTCGTGGGTTCGAATACTGAAAGGACCGTTTGGGCCTACTTTCAATGTGTCCCATACTAGGATGAAACAACCGTTATCTGTTAAATATTATTAAACAATTTTATTTCTATCATTGTTGTTCTATTAAAATTATACGTGACTGTTCCTTAAAATAATTCAATCTATATTTCTGGAAATGAATGTAAAAACATGAGTGAATCAATAATCATGTGAATTCTTACGAAGTTCTGTTCTATTTTTATTGTATAATTTGGCATTAACAAATTGATATTTACCATGAATATGAATAAACAAATACCATTAGATAACCTTCTGAAATATATTAGTTTCTAATACTAACTAGTCTGTTTTAATAGAATCGAGGAGAATTTAGAATGATCTCAAATTGATAAAAGTGATGCATAACGAATCCAGTTCAGTTCATATGATAATATTTGTTATATAAATACTTGTATGAAATCACTTAAACTATAGTTGATCATTTGAAATTGAATACCATAAACAAATTATATTTCATTGTTCAATAAAGTTTATATTTCAAAGAATATGAGGAAACATTCATTGCCCATTTACGAAACTGAAACAAAAACCCATGAAATCTTTTAGGTTTTATATTTATCATTCTTTACGTCATTCATTTAAACGAGGTTTATATTGATTCATATTGTCCTAAGCAAGAACTACTATTTTGTATTAATTACCATGAAATGGTAAAAAACAATTCGAAGGAAATCACTTCAGTATAAAGGTTGTGGAGATTATCATGTTTTTGATTGAGATCATAAACCGATTGATGTTAGACCACTACTGAAAACGTGGAAGCACTGAACGGCCGTTTTGTCCTGTCGTGGGACTCTTCACCATGTGCTCACTAGTGGAGTTAATTCGTACCGGGTAGAGACAGGTATCTACATCAGTACAACTGGAGATGGTTGCGCAATTTCGTGGATTTGTTGAGGTTAGACATTAACACCATTGGATGCCGGCCGGCTCAGTGGTCTAGTAGGTTAAGTGTTCGCTCATGAGGCTCAGAGCCCTGGGTTCGAATCCCGCGAGCGGGGTCGCGGGTGCGCACTGCTGAAAAGTCACACAATAGGACAAAACAGCCATCCAGTGCTTCCAGGTCTTCACTGGGGGTCTAACGTCAATCAGTTTATGATCCCAATCGAAAATCACTTCAATCAATTGTTGAAAATTGGTCATGTCAATTAAAGCTTAATTCCTTACTTACAATTCATGTCTAATATGTGAACAGTAATTAATATCTGTGACACTTGGTAAATTCCTATAGACGGTACGTAGAATAAACTATTCTCTAACTTAATTTTTTGATAGAAATGCCGAACATCAGAAGATTTTAATGTAGATGTTAACAACTTGCATTACGAGTAATTTTCATCATAATATACATAATAATAATAATTCAAATCAGATCTTATTCTTCTTTACCTACAACAAACATTCGAACCACGGGGTTGAGACGGAGAAGTTATCTAACACACTAATTTTAATAACAAAACCTGATATCTGTGGTACCTGTCGCATTTCTAGATTTACACTATCGGTGTTTGAAGATTTCAAAATAATCATTTTATCTGTTGAAGTTTTCGCTTAGTCTTGTTTATTCTAGTGTGATCTACTCTTTCGAAATCAGTATTTTTCACCAAGTATGTAAATAAAAGTTACTAGACTATGGTCTGTCGTAGTTATGACGTAATAATAAATAGTTTATTCAATTTATGATTGATTGATTTAACCAAAATGATTAAAATTATAATTATAATTAAGCAATTTGATGGAGTTATATTCCAATTATTTCGAGATGGATACTCAGTTACAAAAAAAAACCAGTTTGATTTTGCTATAACAACAGAAAATTTATTTATTTATTTGAACACATAAATATTGGTACAAAGGGACACCGAATAAATATGCGCCATACAAGTCACTTTATTTTTGTGTGGGTTGTGATACTGCCCGGCTGCCCAAACCGAAGCGGGTGGTTTTCTTAGGGGGCCACACCCGGAGCCTTCGACCTAAAGTAATGGTACGCAAGGTAGTGGAGCAACGTTAGAAAATGCGATCCCATCGTAGCCGGTGACCAATAACTGGTTCATACGCCTTTTGTTCCCTTTGGATTTTGGAACCCATATGCACTATTGGTTTTCCAACCCCCTTGGGTGGATCCTCTGTATTCATCAACCCGGTTAAATCGCCGGAAATTCGCTTTTCGTCCCCTCAATTTCGTGAACAACACCCCCGCCACGAGAAGGCGGAGGTTAAATCTTTTTACCCACATTATGTATTCAAATGTTTATGAACTTTTACTGCATAGCTATTCAAATAATTTAGATCTAAATGATAGTAATATATATATATATATATATATATATATATATATATATATATATATATATATATATATATATATATATATATATATATATATTATATATATATATATATATATATATATATATATATATATATATATATATATATATATATATATAGTAATTTTCAACCAATCATACACCATTCAAACTTTTATTCCTATTTGACGGTTTTGATTAGTTATGATGCTTGGAAGTTGACTTGAACATCTCAAGGTTTTAACAAGAATTTATAATGTTGTACGTTGTTATGTACATTTCTTTTTAATGATCTGATAATTCAAATACATATTAGGTATTTGTGCAAAACACTATAACAATCTGTTGTGTGATTCCCTGTCCAATTCTGATACTGAAATGTAGGCTTCCTATACATGAGCCCAAACGGCTACACAAGCGAGAAGACAGTTTTGATTAGCTAAACAAATCGGAGATCTATAAAAACTAATTCATACATTTACTTTCATTCGATAGAAAATTAGGCCATCTATAGCGTATGTTTTACCCCTTAGAAATCTGAGTCGGCACAGTGCATCACCTTTCCTGCCTGAAAATAGGTTTGACATTTCGGATTCTGCTTTAAAATTTAAGGTTGTGGTATATCAAAAACTTCTTTTTATAGTTACTGATGAGGATTACTGGTGTTAGTCATCATTTACATTAATCAGAGAGATTTCACACATACTATAATTTTAGTAAATAATTTTATACATCTAATCTATTGGATTAATAAAAGCAGGATACTGTTCAAAAACTAATCACTTACTTTAAACTGCTTCCTTTGATTTATCTAGAAAGTGTGAAAATATAACGATTTACTAAATCTTACGTCGCCCTCACCCTACTAATTACCACCATAAACGAAGAATCATTACAATTCCTACGTGGCGAAGCAACAACACAAAAACTGATACAACTGAAGAGTTATTTACCCTTAAAACACGATGACCCTTGTTCAAAGTACACATTCGATCATATCACTAAATGAAATAAATGCATTGTTGGATTACAGATCTTTTCATTAGCTTCATAGTTTACGACAAGTTATTCTTGTTATCAGCACGTTTTTGAATAACTCTGAATGATTTCTATATAGATGTAGCTAACCAAGACAAGAAGGAAATACTACGATATAAACAATCAAATACTGTTTCATCACATCGATAACCACTGGTTTCGGTTGAAATTTAATAGGATCCTGAACTAATCTTTTCATACTATCTTTTTTATATATGTATGTATACACTGAATGAATTGATTATTTGATTTATTTTATAATTCAGGGTGATGGATGCAAAGATTGCTGTCAACTATGTTTCTGTAACGGTTGTGTAGCATGTCAAATGCATTATGAAGCACAACAAATTGGAATTATAGAAAAGAAAACCTGTTCAGATGCATGTAATCAATGTTGTGTATGTTATAGATAAACAGAATGGGTTAAAGAACAATTTGTAAACTTCCAACTACTTTCACTATCAACTCATGTATAATTAAGTATATTCAAATGAATTTTAATTGTGTACTAAATAAATACTCTACCATATTTTACAAATATTAGTTGTTAAAGGTGAATTTCATAGCTATAATGTCTCCAACATTGTACGAGTATTCCATGTACCCAAACATATGGTTGCTCTGGTTGTCAGAAGGGGCATTGGTCTCGTAACTTCCGAAGGAACTCGGCTTTCATCATGAGGCGTCATAACTTTTCTAAATGAAAACCTTCTGACTCCCAGGGCAGAGTTTAAAAGGTTTGAATAATGTTTTCTGGTTAGCGTTTTTTTAGCGAGTTAGTTTTCTTCGGGATGGGATCGCTAACTCCATGCCCAGCCCTCCTCCTTTACCCAGGCTTGGGACCGGTAGTAGCCTCCGGAGGGACTCCAGGGAGCTATAGCTATGATGTATTATTTGTTAATAAGTATACATACATTTATATTTGTTTTATAAAGTTTATAGTAAACATAAATTGTGCAAAAAGCTTTCCTATTATCCATTACAAAAAATATCTGGACGAGATAATAAATAAATAAATAAACAATTTACAAGATACTTAAATTCACTTGGCATTATTTACTTGGATCTTCCCATTGATGTTTAGGACTGTAGTTGATCAGTCTCTTATTGTCATATGTGCATACTGTGCTTATTACCTCAATGTTGCCTTAATTCACATACATTATAAGCAAAGATAATATGTTATTTATTTTTATCTACTGAACATTAAAAGTGCCCAATTGATATATTGTCTTATCGAATAATTAGTTATTTGTAATAAATTTGTTTGAGTTGTTCTAGTCTAACATTGGTCAGTTCATGATTTCCGTGAAACTCAACAATTTCCACAACCCTATATTTACAAGCGGATTTCAAACAGGGTTATATTAGTAAAATGTGAACATAAGATTCGAAGCATTTAGTCTAAATACGTTGCCTTTTTAATATATTCTCGACAACTGACTGATAGTTGCCTGAAATCTTTTTGAACTAACTTCGTACTAATTAATCGGCCTAGGTTAGTTTGATTACCCTCGTATTATAAAGCTTAAGAAAACAGTTGGCGTTCGTTTATTTGATAAAACACCGACCTTTGAACAGCATCTAAATCTCCTACAGTTTGACTAGTAAAATAAACCAAAATTTGAAGTTATATTTCAGTTCATTCACTATCAGTCGCTGAAAGAATTAGATCGAGAATGAATGAAAGGTCTTAGAAATCGATAAATTATAGAAATGTGGTGTAATATTTTTTTCAAGAAATGAGTTCTATAATAAGCCGATATCAACTTAAGAAACATAGGAAACCATAGAGCATTAAGTAGCCATCTCATCCTAGATTAAAAAGAAAGCTATCCTTAAACAGCACAAAACTTTTCACAAGACCGCTATAGTTTTGTTGTACTTGTAAGATTTATTTTGTAGGATTTCAAAAAAACATTAAGGTGAAATGTTATTACTAACGATTAAAGCATAACATAATAGTTAGTTCTCTTCCCATAAATAGTAATTGGACATTCACAAATCAAACTTGACAATCTCAATATCCAATCAATAAGGAGAATAGATTTGAAGGATAAATTGCACAAACTCAGTTATAAAAAATATTCAATTTATATGACGAGATCAAAATATGATAATAGAGTAGGTTATTATTTCTGCATTGATTCGTTCGTTCAATGCGATGTTATTTCAGGTTAGTATTCTTGTATCGATTCAGTGTGAATTTCAGTCAGTACGACAGACGTGACAATCATATCCTTTATATTAATCTAATATGAACTCTATATGTGTGTCTTATAGTAGGTCTGTGCATTTCCCCCCTTAAATATGATATTTATTAACTGATCATCAAGTGTGTAAATCACTATGTCGATGATTGTACTTAAGTTTAATGAGGACATGTTTTCAGCAGTCAATAAATTTTCACCTGGACCAGCCTTCTGTGTTCTTGCACTGTGTAATTCAAACAATTACACTGGTTCTCTATCATCGAGTATAAACAGTAGGACGGCAGATACAACGCTCATTCACACATTAATACAAAGAAAATCTTCATTATGATTAGAAAAATAATTATAATCTGTATTTTGTTTGTTCATTTTTACTAACATGTATAAATAATTTCAATGGTTAAGATCATGAGTCAGTTGAAGCTAGACCACCATGGAAAACCTGGAAGCACTCGACGGCCGTTTCGTCCTATAGTGGGACTCCTCAGCAGTGCTCATCCATGACCTCGCCCCCTGCGGGATTAAAGATCTAAACTAACGATAATAATAACTGATAATAGTCATCTGCTCACTAGTGAATGACTTTAAGAGGCATTTTCTTAGAGTTCTAGTGAGAAACAGTGACCAGTGGAGTTCAACTAGGCCAGTTGTGTAATAGTAGCTCACTGAAGACAATGGTGAATGTGTCGCTCAATTTCGTGGATTAGTTGAAGTTAGACATTAACACCGTCGGATGCCGGCTCAGTGATCTAGTGGTTAAGTGCTCGGGCGCGAAACCAGGAGGTCTTGGGTTCGAATCTCGCAGGGGGCGAGGTCGTGGATGCGCACTGCTGAGGAGTTCCACAATAGGACTAAACGGCCGTCCATTGCGTCCAGGTTTTCCATGATGGTCTAGCTCCAACTGACTCATGATCTTAACCATTGAAATTACTATAATATCCACAAAACCCATCTGATGTATAAATAACTTAGAATTTAATTAATTACACTAGTATTCATACTTCTCAGAACTATTACATAACATAAATGCTGGATGAAATTGATGACATGAATGAAATAACACAATACTAATTATCATGTGAATTAATTATAACTAATAAATTTATAGAATATTGAACAGATGACAAATTGATGACTTTATCATGAGTAATCTGATCATTTTTGGTGTGCAAAAAAAGAAAATTATAACGCTGACAAACTCATATGACATGAATACAACTATGAATAAATATTCGATCACCTTATAATGTGGATTATGACAGAAATAAATTCATTTACTTACATCATAAGATTATATCAGGTAGTAGAGTAGTGGTTCATGTTTCACATAAAATGGTGTATTGTACATTGCATAATAAAAACAAGAGGTATCTTTTAAAAGAAAGCTGTGGTAAAATTATATAGAATAGTGTTGACTGTTAAATGTAAAGTTAATATAAACTCCCCATAGAATACTCAAAAACGAAGAATATTTGAGCAACAATTGTTTTCAATAACTTCATCATCGCTCAAGAGATATGCACTTAGCCAAATCGAATCTCTTCAAACGTATATTGTTAAATTAGAAAGGAATATTACACAGAGATTTTATTCTGTTGAAGACCTTCCCCCAAACTTAAAGGATTCGTTTATGACTTATGTCCTTGAAGTGCAAAGAACGAGGAAGAACAAAAAAAGAATCGACCTAATCAAAGGACTAGACAAACAGATCTTTAAACCGGATTTTCCAGACGACTGTAAGCGGTATGTTTTCAACTTTTCCTCTGTTAATCTTGATAGGACTCAACTAGAAGTGTTATCATTAGGTCCTAAGTTTTGTGATAATCGTAGACATGTGGATCATTTGAAGACTGGTGTTCAGTTCGAGAATCTATTTACCCAGACACAAGACTTAAAACCCACGACAAAGGTCGAACATGAACGATTCAAAACCACGCTGGTCGATTGCTGTAACCAATTTAAAAGCATTAAGCACTACACAAATAGTATATTGACAGATAAACATCGTGAGGCCATCCGGAAACTCAAGTTGAATGAACACATTCTTATCACTAAACCTGATAAAGGATCGGGCACGGTAATTCTAAACAAGACAGACTACATAGATAAGATGAATTCACTACTGAGTGATCAAACTAAATTCCAAAAGCTTGAGTCATGTAAAGACTTCAATGAAAAGACCGAACGTCAACTAACTGCAGCATTAAAATTCCTAAATCAACACCAACACATCTCTGAGCATACCTATAATATGCTTAAACCTTCTGGAACACATACCCCTCGACTATATGGTCTACCTAAGATCCATAAACCTGATATTCCTCTACGTCCGATACTGGATATGGCAAATTCACCATACCATTCAACAGCAAAATGGTTAGTTAAGTTATTAGATCCATTGCACCAAGAACTTGCTAAGCATAATGTTAAAGACGTCTTTGAATTTGTTGATACAATTAAAAATATGAATATAAATGGAAAAACCATGCTATCACTAGACATAACATCTTTGTTCACTAACATCCCTCTGACTGAAACTATAGATTACATATGTGAACAACTGATAGAAAAGAAAATAGAGATTCCTATCCCAATAAACAAAATGAAAGGACTTCTCTTGAAATGCATTATGAATATCTACTTTAAGTTTAACAATGAATTTTTCCGACCAGTAGATGGGGTAGCAATGGGATCACCTCTAGGTCCGATCCTTGCTAATATTTTTCTGACCAAACTAGAAAATGTACCACTTAAAGACATCCTAAATAAGCTTGATTATTACTGTCGATACATAGATGACACATTAATCATATGTGACGAAAATATCTACAAACAGGAGATGCTAGACGCTTTCAATAATGTCCACCCAGCCATTAAATTCACCAGCGAGGAGGAGAAGGACAACAGCATAGCTTTTCTAGATGTCCGACTCTCTAGAAGGATAGATGGTTCCATAAAGCGAAATATGTTTAGAAAGTGTACATAGACGGGTCAGTATACCCATTTCCAAAGCTTCACACCTCTGCAATATAAAATAAATTTGGTTAAGTGTCTCAACCACAGAATCAAGTTATTATGTTCTGAAGACAGTGTGGAGGAAGAAATAGTTATACTAAAGAACACGTTACGTAATAATGGCTATCCTGATAATTTCGTCAAAAAATACCTCGTACAAAGTATTAAAAAGAGAAGACATTGCGACACTGTCAGTAAAAAGACCTTATATCTGAAACTTGAGTTTAAAGGCGACATAGCGGGTGATATTCTAACACGTCGACTCAAAAGATCTGTCGAGAGGACGTTTCATGCCGCCAAGTTACACATA